GCGGCATTATGGAACCACGATTTGTTTCTGGATAAAATGAATAAAAATACATAATATAATAATTTGATTTCGATAAATATCCTCTCGAACTTCTGTACTCCTGATGATTCTCAAAATAGCGGAATCAGTAATTTTGCTGATAATTAAAAATACGCATCCGAGTTCATAGGTTCGTGGGATTCATTTCCTGATTTTAAACCTAGTGAGAAGACAACCATCTTCTGTATATAATGAAAAGATTTCAAAGGTTTTGAGCTGTTTCAAAGGCAAAACTTATACCCGTTTTCAATAACTTCAATACCAGTTTCATTTAGACATTTCTTGATTTTTATCGTTTTTATATATTCTAAGATCTTTTTAAATTTTATGATTCAAGAAACGTGTTTGATTCCTCTTATTTATAAATAATAGCTTACGAATGTACATTTCAACCAACTGAATTCCTCTTTGCTATTGAACACAATCATTGCTTTATCCGTAACTCAGTTGAATAGTTTCCCATTTGTTAATTTCGTTAAAATAGCAGCAGCCACAGCTTATCGAGAAGGAATATTTTTCTTCAACGCTTTAGCCGGAATAATACTTTTGGAATCGAGTTATAAGATAGAATTTGATAAAGAAAGGGGAAAAAAGACAGGAATATAAAAATAGAAATTTGATTTAATGTCTTGTAATGCTAATAACAACCTTTACGGGTGGTGTAATTTATTCATGATTTGATTATTATTATTAATGATAAATATTTATCATTTTCTTTTGTTGCAACATTTTTTCATATCATAAGGTTTCACTGTTTTTTTTACTTCCTTGTACGAAGTAAAGGGAGTAAAAAACCTGTGAAATTTTTATCCTTCCGATGAATTATAAAACTGATTTAAAGTGGATTCAGAATCGGTTTTTTTTCGTGGCGTCTGTACGTACGTACGTATATATGTATTTATATCACGTAAATCAAAAACGAATAGCCTCAGAACGTTGAAATTTTGTATATGGGACTGCTATAACATTTTGAAGTGCACCTCCCTTTTTTGGTGCAATCGCCGCCGCACCAAAAGTATATATATATATATATATATATATTATTAAATAAATATATTATAGATATAGATTGTGCATATATAGATATATATACATATATACCCATTCTGTTACTCGTCTCCGTGAGCTCAGTTTTTTATTCTTAGATGTTTGTAAATTGTGCAATTTGTGCTTTAAAAATCATTGAATTATGTTGTTCTTATCTTCTGGTTAACGTTTTAATTTTAGTTCACCTGCATGTTATAGTTGTAGAATTAGCAACAATTTAAAAGTCGTTAAAGTGCGGCTAAGCCTTTTTTTTAAACCATAGTAGCCATATTTTTTTATATTTGAAACTTGGCAGAATAGTAGATTTGTTGCCAATTCAGAGAAAATAAACTTCGGAACAACAAAGATGACGACGTATTTTATTATTGCGAATTAAATGATGCTAAATCCATTGTGTAATTATCATTTAATTTATTAAATTATCCCATATATTGACTCAGCATAGCCTCCACAACAAATTAAGTCAGTTTCTGCGCTTTCAGTACCTTTTTGCCGACTAGGACCAAAAGGAGACTTTTGTGCCCGCAAAATCTGCCTTTTTTTCTGCTGGCTGAATCGCTTGTTTTTTCGTAGAAAATCTAATTTTAATTGCAAATTTGTTTTTGTTTGTTTCAACTGTATTTGGTGTTTTAAGGTTTTCTATATCTTTCAATTTTTAATGAAGATACACTGGTTATCATAAATTAAGGAAAAATCACAAAATTCACGATTACTGAAAAAGTTACATGTAGAATTTTATAAAAGGTTACCCACAATATACAACATATAGTAAGGTATGAAATAACATAAAAAAAATTACCAGACAATTATGGTAGTATAGGAATTAACACATGTATAAAATGAACAAATCGAAGGTGTCAGTTTGCTATAGGAAAAGTACTTTCAATATGGAATATGGTCGCCTCTAGAAGCAATACAGCAAATACAGCGATGCGTGATGCTTTCAATTATGCGGTCAATCAGTTCCATAGGAAGCGAGAGCCATTGCTCTTGTAAAGCAGTTGCAAGAGCGGCAAGGGTCTGAGGGGGCAGAATGAGAGCAGTTAGACGTCTCTCTAAACCATCCCAAACGTGCTCGATAGTATTCAAGTCCAGGGATCGAGCTGGCTACTCCATACGCATAATTGTTTCCTGTTGATAGAATCATCTATGATGCGAGCCCTGTGTGGTCTTGGAGTTGTCGTCCTGTAACAGGAAAGCCTCATCCTATTGCCCCGGCACATGGGCGCACATAAGCATCAAGGATGTCATCTCTATAAACCGGAGCATTCACGGTTTCCGTTGGAAAAACATGGCAGTCTGTCCACCCAAAAAGATGCCACCCCAAACAAAGGCACTGCCTCTTCCGTATGTATCTCTTTAACGGATGTTTGACGGATGATAACGGGTTCCAGGTTCTCTCCATATCAAATAACGCCTACTATCATTTTCTAGACTAAACCTGGACTCATCCGTAAAGAGAACAGCCCTCCACTGATCAGGCATCCAGTGGACATGGTGTCGTGCCTACTGAAAATGGCGTGACGTGAGCGGCACGCAAATGTCTGGTCGTCTCGCATACAGACCACATTCGTGAAGCCTTCTACGCACAGTTGACGTTGACAACAACCTTCCAGTGGCTGCAGCAAGGAAGGAGTAGCGGTTCTATTCCTGCATGCACATACTGTCAAATATCGGTCATCAGCGCTCGTCGTAGCAGTTCGCCGTCCTTGGCTGAACCTCCTGAGGCCGGATCTGTGGTTTGAAATCGCCTCCAAAGTCTATGAACTACAGAAGGTACCACATTTAGCCATCTAGTCTAATCTAGTCCGTACGGTTATTGCCGAAATGTCGCGCTACTGCGCAACTTATCCGGCTCTTGAAAATAAGCCCGAAGGGTGCATGACGCTATCATTCATGACAATTTGGAGAGGTCAAAGGTGGTTTACAGGGGGCGACCATGAGTCGCAGAGTCATTGAGAGGCGAGCGCATCGAGAAATTCACGAAACAGGAGCCGTGAGGAATCTGTGTGACATGTTTGTGTTGTTTTATTAAAGAAGACACAGACAATATCCGACAATTTCTATCATGACATGTGAAATATTACATAACATAAATAAAATAAACATAATCGTGCAATATTGCTAATAATAACTACAAATAACCTAAAATTAAAATGATACAGAATATTGATGCAAAATACAATTGAGAACCTGAATATATGTATGTACACTGTATACACTATGTACAAGAACTGAGCACAATTATCATGATATATTAAGTAGGGAAATTTAAGTCCCGGGCGAGGTGGGCCCCGAGTGGTCGTAACGATGCATCTTCCTCTAGAATTACATAGTTCAAAACATTAAGATCCGACATATGATTACATTCTTGAGCCTTTTCAAAGAATTTAACATTGGCCTTATGCAGATACATTTCAATGGACTCCATTTTAAGGTCTCGATGTAGGGTCTGATTGGAGACATAATAATGTGCGTTGGTTATCATTCTTAAAACTTTGTTTTGAATAATTTGAAGCTTGCTTAACTCCTTTTTCTGAACTGTTGCCCAGGCGGGAGATGCGTACAACAGAGGAGTAACAGAGGAGGAAAATTTATCTTTTTTTGTTGCTGCCATTGTAATTCGGTAAAGAAGCAACTAAACATGCCGTTACGACTAAACGACTTCGAACGCGGTTGCATTGTAGAATTGCGTGAAGCTGGGTGGTCATACCGAGCAATAGGCCGTCACCTGCCTCACAGCGTACAGACACTGCTGTGCAAAGTTGTTGAAAACAATGGTTGCTACAAGAAAATTGCCGACGAAATGAAGGCTCTTGAACGCCAAGGATCACAAATGCGAGGCAAGATAGGATGATTGTTTGCCAGTCCCGAACCGTAACAACGGTATCATTGTCGACCATTCAACGCACTCCAGTCACGTCTATACCTCCCGTGGTACCTTTCACCATCTCACGGCGCTTGTCTAAGGCGGGGTTACGCTCGCAGAGGCCTTTAAGTCGTTTGCCTTTGACCCCACAACATCGGCGGAGTAGTCTGAAGTCGTGTCGCAGCCGATCATCATGGCTGCTATCAGACTGACATTGTATAGTGTTCAGCGATAAATCCCGCTTCACTCTTGAAGCAGATGACCGCAGTGTTCGTGTCTGGAGAGGAAGGGGCCAGAGGTCCCAATCAGCCTTTGTTTTGCAAAGGCATACAGCCACAACTTCTGGTGTGATGTGTGGGGCATTATTTCTTATGACAGCAGATCATCTTTAATCATCCTCCGTACATCTTTAACAGCCCAACGATATGTTGATACCATCCTGCGGCCGGTTGCACTATCCTTCATGGCACGCCATCCCGGGGCCATTTTCGAACAAGATAATGCCAGGCCACATACCGCTCGCATATCTTTGGACTGTCTCCGTGCGTTTGATACTTTTCCTTGCCCAGCAAGATCACCAGACCTTTCACGAATCGAACATGTCTGTGACATGGTAGGCTGCCAGATTATATTATTATTTACCCACAAAATATCGCAGATCTGGAGCGACAAATGATGAATGCCTGGCAGAATGTGTCGCAGGATGACACTACGAACCTCTACCACTTCTTGCCTCGACGAATTCAAACATGCATTGCCGCCAGGGGCAGTTCGACCAACTACTAATTTGAACTCTCAATGGGTGATTGTGAGCCGTGCACAGGTACTATGACCTTGATATTTTAATTATTCTATTATATGCGTATGAGCTATACACATATTCAATTTCATCAAAAATAACCATTTCCTTCATGTTACTTCGATTTTTTCCAGAAGAGTGTATTTTCTGGTTAAAACAATTATTGAAATTATTGAACTTGTAAATAAAGGAGGTAAATTTATTTTAATCTACAAAAGCTTTCAATTTGTCTTCTTCATTTCTTAGGACTCCTACGGGATCAGATTGAAGACATCGCCAAGAAAGCTTTCCAGTCTTACCTAGGTGTGGTGGGATCGCCACCGGTTGGATTTGAAGATTTCACCATTAAAGTGAATAGATATATGCAGCTACCACCATTCAATTTCCCAAATCCTGTTAGCCGCCTGGGAGGCATGAAAAGGGTAAGAGAAAATTAGCATGTTCCTATCTTAAAGTTTCCATCTGTCTGAAATGTAGTGGCTGATAAATTTATCGCCTTTAGAATGAATTTGATTAATACAAGTGAAAACTTTATTAGCTGCTTCCTGATATAATTCCAATTAACATAACGCGTGAGCTGTAAACTTATTTTAAAACACAGAATGAATAAAATATGTGAGCCGCGAGAGGAAAATCTTTACTATGCGACAGTACCTGAGGAAAGATAAAGAGGAAAAATATTAAGCGCTTATAAAATTTAGATAAAGGAAATTTCGTTTTAAAACAGCTATTTCTTCCGTTAATCGATACAGGAATTGTTGAATTCTAGGAATCTTTTCACTGTATCTGAACCAAGCATTTTATTATTATCTATCGTCCTTAGGGAATTATTCTACAAAAGACCTGCAGAAAATATCAGAGTTATCTTTTATATTTTGTTGATCGACTTCCTTTCTTTGTTAATATATATATATATATTATATAGAATGAGTAAATGCAAGTAATTAATTAATTTCTTAAACAGAACTTTCCTTCCCTTAAACGAAATAAGTTATAAATATTCAAAATTTAATTGCATCCTTAATTTCCTTCATTTTCCTCTAAATTCCACTATTCGTAGTGTTAATTGTTTTAATTAGACTAGCATATTTTGTGGATGAAATTTTATTGACCAATAAAACTGTGTATAAGATTCAACTTCGCTGTCCTTCATCTTATTATTGAGCAACACACCATTTTATTAGGATATCGACGTTTTTTAAAATTAACTACAAAATGAAAAACATATCAAATGTTTTCAGAAAATTAGAAATTAGGCCTAAAAATAGGAATTCTTCTTATTTTAATTTCAAATAGAGACTAAATAAATATTTTCCTACATGATTAGTTGTAATTGAATAATTAGTTGTACATAATTAGTTGCATAACATTTCATAAAGCAATCAACTGCGTTTTTTATACAGGAATACAGCAGCTTAATTAAAGAAAGAAAGCTTAGTCATGCATTTAATACAGTTGAAAATGTTTTTCACTGTGTACAAATCATATAAACTATCATGCTATGAGAGCTCCCATGATTCTGGCCCATATTTCTCGTCGGTGTTTAAAATCCATTCGATTATATAATTTGCCGCGACAGAGGTATAAAATTATCATTTCTATAGAAGGGTAATTTGCAAGTCATTGATTCGTTGTTCAAAGGATTTTATGTAAAGAGGTATCTATTTGAAGACAGTTTCAAAGATTTCCGACCGAACTGACGTCTTTGAGATGATTGAAATAATGTCTTTGGTATCTAGATACTCATCTATCAATCTTGCTATGCGTGGATGAGCGTTACTGCCGTCAAATGGGAATTTCGATAAATTGCTGCAGCACAGAATCTTAAAAAACTCAAATATTGATGCCTTTCTTACCATCACAGTACCCTTTGGGAATCACGCCTAAGTCGTTGCCATATCGTAAATAAAATCCAGTCCATACGAATTAATTGCCGGCACGAAATATGTGATATTGAACAACAATGTCATTGGATATGTTGCTTCTACGACATTCTGTTCTGGCAGTTGCATTTTATACTTGTGATTTAGTTGAGATTAGTTGAGTTGCTAATCTTCCGTCATTTATGAAGAGAATATTGTGCTTGTATGCTAATTCTGCTTCTCTTTTGTTATAGTGCTCAAATGTGTGCAATCTCGCGCTGCTCAGATGATATTCTTCTGTTTTAAATACCACGCTTTATGATATCCTTAGTATTACACTATATATTTTAATAGTATAGCACATATGAGACGTCCAAAATATCACGCTATAAGATTAATGTTAAACTTTGCTTCTCTGTTATATAAATTTCAGAAGTAATGTAGATTCCCTTTTACTGTAGTTAGACATTTCCCGAGGTGGGTATCGGAATTATCGCTTGATGATTTTTTTTTCCGATCATAAAATGAAAATAAATTCATAACAGAATATATTAGCCCTGAGAGGACTTGGAATTAATTTTCATATAAAACCTTAACCATGAAACCTTTCAATCTCGCTTGTATATGGTTTTTTAATAAAAAATAACAAAATAACATGCTTGGAAAAAATTCTTGTCTTCGATAATTGACTGACTTGCCTCAAAATTTCCAAACCGCTCCTCAGCACTTAGAATCTTCCAGGAATGCTCTTATTTAGATGAATCATAACCAAATTAATCTAACCCCAAATCAATGGGAAACATCTTATAGAAAAACTTAAATTGAGCAATAAATTCATGGGCATATATTTATAGGTTTCACCGCAAGCCTAATTTTCTATTCTTTCAGGAATAAATATTTTTTTGAAGATGTCCTGTGATAGATACTTACGGCCTGTGACTTTTACAAAAAAATCGTTATATTTTTTGCCTTAAACGTTGTTTTAAAGCATGGGCTTAGGGAATTTGCCAGGAATCGAAGAAACTGCAGTAACATTTCTGCAAGAATACAGCACTTTGCTGAAAATTTTCTAAAGGGAACAAGGAGAAAATGCGTATCCTCGATAGCCGCTATTGCCGAAGATTGCACGAAGCCGAGTCTCTGCAATTATCTGATGCTTTTTTTAAGAGAAAACTGATTGCCCTTTACTTTGAGAGCAGAAAAGCGCAAAAAAATTACAGAAAGATTTGAAGAAGAATCCAAGTGTTTTATTTTTTAATTGTATCCCGTAATCCTTATTTATTAATTCAAATTTGCATTTTAAATTGCTAGACTGTGCTTTCTTTTTATACGTTGATAGTGTTTATTGACTTACGATTGATATCGATGGTTTAGGAAGCTTTCTAAAAAACAGCGCGAAAACCACCAACTTGTACCAGATAAGTATCTTTCACCTTTTCCATCTGTAAGAAAATTATCGAATTTCGCCAACATGGTTCTGTTAATACGTAAGTACCGTTTGATATTTATAGGTCCTCATTAAGAAAAACAGTGTGTTTCACTCGATTAAATTTATATACACGCTCCCAATCTGAGAAATTAATTACAACTCTTATCTAGTAAGAGGTACATTACGGAAAAAAAAAAAAAATTCTATATCTTCCTTTCCACCGGGCCCAATGACAAGATTCAAATTTCGATTTTCATGCCTCGAAAGAGCGACTTAGGATATATATTATATTTATAAACATAGGTATTTTGACCCAAAAGCGGATTTTTTCTGATTTGACATGCCCATTTTTTCCATAATTCGATTCTGTGGCACAAAATTTATCTTGCCGCATTTTTTTTTTTTTTTTTTTTTTTTTTTTTTTTTTTTCAGTTTGCACCAAGAATAATTCACTCGGCAAATTTCTTAACTTATAGCAACCTATTTTCGTTTGCTATTTTTCTTTGTGCTCGAGCGAGAAAAAAGGTTCATCGTTGATATTTTCAAATAATTTTAATAAAGTGCGTAAACCACATTTGACGTTACTATCGCTTATAACAGATATGCCAAATTTCAAAACGCTGTAGTATACAAATTTGTGTATATCATTGGAAAATTTGAATGAAAAATTCTAATTTTTTGCTGGTATGCTTAGAAATACATCTACTTTAAGTTAATGGTAAACATTTTATAGGTTATAATTCAAACGTTTTTCGAAAAATTAAAAAAAGAAAAAATATTTAAAAATACAAATTTTAAAAAAATATATAAAAAAATATGCGAATTATATTTGGATTAAGCCTTTAAATTTCGAATTCTGTAAGAAGGAATCAATTAAGTTTATTTAAAAAGGAGATATTAATAAATATATATGAAATTCAATTAACATCGAGGAGCTAAAATTTTGAGAGCTACTCGTGCAATTTTTTACAGAACTTGACAGTTTGGCATAACTTGAGTCGTAAAATCGAAATACGGGGGGGGGGGGGATTGGCATGCCCTTCCAGAAAAAGTTCGATTTTGTGTCAAAATATCTATATTAGATTAATGCTTTATATAAATCTAAGTCGCGCTTTCGAGATATGGAAAACGCAAGTTGAATTTCGTCAATCGGCCGAGTAGAACGGGAGGTATAAAACTGTCCCCTCCTTTTTTTAAAGTCCAAATGGGCTTTGTCCCTGAAGGACTATTGTTCTCGTTTTGCAATTTTGCGTCGGTTCATTATAAATGTCCGTTTAACTTTTCAAACTGTTGCCACCCAATGTCAGAGTCCTGCATTATATTTGAAGAAATTAAATAATGGAAAATGTGCATAAATGTATGTATATTTCTCGCATTGTGGTAAAACAACGGTACAGAGAGCGGTGGCTTGGCAAATGCGGTCGAGAGCAGGAGACTGACGTTAATTACGGAAGGGGAAAGTAAACGGCTATGTCAGGGATCATAAGGGGTGATATATTTAAAAAAAAAAAAAGTGTTTTTAGATCTCATTCAGTATCAGTATATCAGAAATAAATGATGCACATGGTATCAGAATGGAGACAAATTACATAAGATACGAAAAGTTATATTTATTTGTTTATTAACATTTCATTATTACATTATTTTCGTATAGGAATTTCCTTCCACCGCCTCTGAGCAATACAAACAGGTACATGTAAGTCGGCTGAAAAGCACTGCTATAAACAAATAATCCAACCCAATTCCAGTTGAACACCGCTTATTAATACTAATTGTTTACGGAAAGCATCCTAGTTTCTGAAAAGCTTCGTATCATCTAACATAAAATTAATTAATTAATCATCTTAAGAATGATTTTGTGTTGAATATGGCAAAACATATGAGGGTTGGCTAGGCATGATTTCATGGAGAATTTTCTAAGGAAAATGGGCTCATATTTACATATCTTAAGATTATAAGTATTGAGTAACATTTCCTATAACTACTTCTAATTGAGGCTTTCTAAGAGCAACCCCCTTAATTTTGACTCGCAGCTTTTAATTTTATACTAAAATATGAGCATAGAATCTACCTTTAAACAATGGGATTTGTTTTTAAACACTGTGGCATGATAGTGCCTAGTAATAATAGT